TGTGACTGATTATAAACAAAAATTCAAAATGTATACTAAGACTCCTGGAAGAATTCTAATACTGTGTACCATCAAGATCTTTCAGAATGTGTACAGTGGGTGCTGTATTTTTACAAACATTCTGATGTGGAAAAAATTAATTTCTTATTTTCCTATTACAGATTCTAATTTTTATGAAAAGCCCTATTATGTCTTATAGCACAGGAGTTAGTCTGGTAATTTCCAGATAAACCGAGTGACTTTCACAAAATTAATTTTAAAATGGCTCCACCCCCTACATGTTACTTCTAGTTCAGAGGTGGGAGGTGGTGCAGGGTTGGTGTGGAAGACTCTCCTTTTCATCATTACCTCCCACTGTATGCCATAGTCCTGTTGTGCTTCTTGGTCATCCCTGTTCTTCCCACATTGGTGATGATGACTGTTATCTCCATAATGCCACACTCCTTTTGTTAGAACCTTCCATGCCAGCATTTTAGGAAGCGAGCATTCATTATTATTATTATTATTATTATTATTTGAGTTGGAGTCAAACTCTTTGTCGCCCAGACTTGAGTGCAGTGGCACTCTCATGGCCACCACAGCTTCGACCTGGTGGGCTCAGGCAATCTTTCTGCTTCAGACTTCCAAGTAGCTGGAACTATAGATGCATGCCACCATGCCCAGCTAATTTTTGTGATTTATTGTAGAGATGAGGTTTCACAAGGTGCCCAGGCTGATCTTGAATCCCTAGGCTCAGACAATCCTCTCAACTCAACTTCCCAAGGTGCTGGGATTACAGGCTGAGCCACTGCGCCTGGCCAACATTCATTATTATTGAGCTGTCCAGGCCCTACTGCTTCTTGCCTTTGGGAGCTTTCCCTTACTGTTACTCTTTGGTGTCATTGTAGGAGAGGGATACTTGTGGGTACCACTACCATTATGAGAACCAGAGGTGAAGCAGGATGCAGTCTTTCTATTCTGAGAGGGAAACTTGGTAAAGAGACCCTCATATTCTCTTCCATGTTTAATTATTTTTCTCTTCTTTTCAAACTTCTCATTCTCCACAGTGAGAAGGGTCTTTTGACTGAAGGATGGAGAGGGAAATACTTACAGAAGAATAGTTAGATGGCCCAATTTTGGGTTGCTCATAACAGGAAAGAGAAAGAAACTTCAGCTCAAATATTATAACACCATAATGTTGCATATGCCTTTATTACGTGAAATTGCACTCTAAAATTAAATTAAAAATTATTCTGGAAAACTCTTTAAATCCTGAGATTATATCTGCAGATCCCTCTAATTCAAGGAAAGAATACTTAAGGGGAATGTAAAGGAAAATCTGGCTGAAACAAAATAAAAAATGTGCCCATAATCCCTATCTTTATACTCTTTGTGCCCCCAGATATTGAGAAACATATTAAACATCTTTGTCAGATATCTGATAGTAATTATATCCTTTATTATCCAACAAAGTGAGATAAAGGATGAATGTAAAAAGAGCAATAAACTACCTCTTAAGGGACCTTGGTATGGTGCATTGATCCTGGAGAAGGAAGTTCTTTTCTCTGGGTCTTTTTTTTTTCCTATCAGTAAAATGAGGCACGGGACATTTGATATTCAGTCAATTCTGCAGACCTATGAATACCGTGTTCTAGTAGAACCTTGGCACTACGTTCTTGGAGGATCTTTGGTGTGTGAGGAGGCAGAGGGAAGGGAGAAGACAGATACCTGCATGAGGTGCTGGAGGGACAGCAGGTCTGCATAAAGACCTAACTGGAGATGGTGTAGACTAGTGGGGTGGAGAGTCAGATGAGCCTCTGCAAGAGTACCCTGGATTTCTAGGGAGGGAAAAGTGCCAGTGTCACAATTTTGTCTGCAGGTCCCAAGAACTCACAAGTGAACTCTCTCAAAGTCCACTCATCCTCTGAGTTTCACTTTTGAGTGGATTACAGCTGGTAGGAGGTGAACGTGCTATCTGGATTGGAATCTCATTTTCAGAGGGTGTCAGGTGCTTGGCTCTGCCTTCAACTTGGGTGAGGCAGGTTAAATCCTCCCTTCACCTAAAGCACCAGGGGAGCTGGGGGCCTACCTCTACAATCTCTTGCTGTCCCACCGTTCTGTCTCTGATCAGCACTTACCAGAGCTCTGACCTGTCTTTGATCCTCTGCCATGTGGATAAAGGATACACCTGAGACCGAGTGAGAAGACCCAGCAGCACTGGGTTTCACTCCCAAGGAGAGAGGAAGACACGTGAGTGGTTTTGAAAGCCCCTGGGAAGGACGGCCATAGGAGGTTGGGTAAATTGACTATGTTGAAAAAGTAGGACATACAGACAAAGTCAATGTCCTGTAGGGCAACACTGCTGCTTGTTATACTCCTCCCATTTATACTCTATATTTACATCCCACAGTACATTTTTCAAAGTGCTGTCATAGCTCATTTAGTCTTCACAGTGTTCTCATGAAGCAGGCTTGATACTAGACTAAAAATAAGGAGGGGGTACTAGACTAAAAATAAGAAAACCAGATTCATTCTAATCATCTGTCACACATGATGTTAGGTTTGTGTCTCTAAGCTTTGATTTCCTGGTCTATCATATGGTGATGGCACAGCTGGAAAAATGTTAAAATGATTGTCTCCAGAAAGGAAAGTAGAGGGTCAAGGGAGTAAACAAAGTGAAATATTCAAGGTTGCAAAGTAGAAACAAAGTCACCTTATCTCTTATTTTTATTTTACTTTCTTTCTATGAAAATGTTTTTTTCTTAAACTTTGTTTTTAAGGACTGTATAGATATATAGGCTGCTGTTTTTAAGATCTATATTGATATATAAGCTTCAAACTTTGTGAATTAAATTAGTATAGCCTTATCACTTAATTGCTATGCATACTTGACATTTTTGACTATGTAACATTTGAGGCTTTGCTGTAAAATTCTAATGACCCATGATATGTAGTAATTTGTTATTTTCTTTGAAATAAATTATCATAGTGCAGGATAGCCCTTGAATATCAGAATTGTTATTCAACTAATGTATAGACATAACAGTCATGTGTCATTGCATTTTAACACTTATACTTCACCCAGAAAATTAAATTAAATATATGTTTAAATATTAGATCATACATCTTGACAAAACCAAAACTAACCATATTTAATAAGAACAGCAAAAATTTTAGAATATTTTTGCGGCCCATTCAAATAGTAAACAGAGATGTCAGAGACTTATAATTAAAATGTTTTTATTTGAAGTTTGAAATCTAACTCCAGTTATCTATTTACCAAAAAAAGTCCCAAGGATTTTCAGAACACTGACAGCAAACTCTATGCAGGGTTTTTCCTTGGCACTACCGACATTCTGGGCTGGATAATTCTTTGTTGTGAGTACCAGTCCTTTGCATTGTGGGATGTTTAGCAGCATCCTTGGTTTCTATCCATTTTGTGTCCCCTCCCCAGATGAGGCAACCAAAAATGTCTCCATTCATTGATAAATGTCCTCTAAGGGTAAAACTGCCTCTTTCTCCATTGAGTATCCTTTGGTCCAAGGCAGTTCTTCTCCTTTATATATTCTCTCACAAATCTATACCTGAGCACCAGAGAATGGTAGGATGTATTTTCACAACATTCTTCAAAAGCTCATTGATTTATGCAATATTTTTTTTGAGTTCAGTTGTAGTTTCTTTCTTCTACCTGCTTTGACATAAAATACCTAAAAGAACAAAAGCCTATAAATTGGTTTGTAGCAAGTGTGGATTCTTTTTAGTTCACATAACCGAGAAATGATGCATGGCATGGACATTTTTGGCTCTTATTTGGTGAAAAAAAGTTTCTGCTTTTCACAAGAGGAGTCAAGGAGATGCCAACAATATTCCTTCGGTCTAAGGAGAAATGATTGATAAATCATTTCAGGGGGAAGGGGTCTGTGTTGTCTTGTAAAACTCAATCTCATTTTCATATATACATTGTAGTACCCTTTTAGATTTAGGAATTGTGTACAACTGGGCTCCTCAGTTTTCTTAGAGATATCTTAAGTGAAAGTATGTTTCTTTTAGAAAGAAAATAGAGTAATAATTCTGTAACAATAACCTCTTGAATCATTTGATTCTTAATTTCTATTTCAGTCTGTTGATTTTTTCTCTCTGCCCATAAAATCACAATAGCATTAGTTTCTGGGAAAGTAGAAGAAGTAATTGACTCAGCATTACCCCTTAGCTGGCTCTTCTAACTTCGGAAACAAGTTTTCTCTCAATAAAATAATTGATACATCAGATATAAGAAGTCATAGACTTATTTTACTCTGATTGTTTTTTTCATTTTCCAATACGAAAACACATGCACTGTATCTTTGACCTGGTAAAAAGTTTTCAATTTTTTTTAGCTGTGTAGAAGTATTTTTATTAGGTTGCTACAGTGAGTTCATTGAATTTGTCTGTCCTGCCACTCCTACATGTTTGCAAGATTATACTATTTAAGATAGTTTCCCTGACCATCTTCTTCTGTAGCTCCATTTCCACCGCTCTGTCTTTCGCTTTCTAAGGCATCCCGGTGCCCCTGGGTTGTCTGAATGTTGGCTACCTGGCTGCAGTGTGGGGATGCAGAACCTTCCTGCTCTTTTCTCCACATGGAAAAAACTGTAGTGAAGAAGAACTATGTGGGGTGAAGGGGCAGAAGACAAGAAAAAATATCTTAAGCTTGCTCTAATTTCTGCATGCTACCAATGGATGGACTTGAGTGTGTGTGTGTGTGTGTGTGTGTGTGTGTGTGTGTGTGTAAATAAAATGGTTGTCCCTTTAGATAAAGAGTGCTTTTAATTTCCATCAGAAAGTGTACCTTGGGTCTAAAAGACAGTCTGATATGATCAATAACTGTGGAGCAATGGAGACAAAACCATTTTAATTGGGAAGGGGTTGATGTGGACTCCTCATGAAGACTGCACAACCAGTGGAAACCACAGAGTGTGTTGGGTATGTTGCAGTCTCACTTAGGCATAGTTATATAATCCCTTGTGTTTGCTCCAGGGAGGATGGTGGATTTTCCAGGATACAGTCTGTCTGGTGCAGTCGCCTCCTTCTTCTTCATTTTGCTGACTATGAAGCAGGAAGGTAGGATTCTCTTTTTAACTTTACTGTATTTGCCAATGTCCCACTGAGCCAGTACAGATGCAGAATTCTGAACTAAAAGGACTAGAACAACATCTAACAGTGGAGGTCTGGGATCTCAAGGCCCTTGTGTTCCAGTAAAAGCTCCTCTGCTCCCAACTGAGTCACCTTTGGAAAGCAACTTCAGTACTTTATGTCTTAATTTCTTTACCTTTATAATAAGAATAACAACAGTGCCTATGTCTCAGAGTCTAGCACAGGCTTTAGGATTAACTTGGAAATGAAAAGTCCTTGAATCAATGCTTGGAACATATTAAGTTATTAATCCATTCTCCTGTTTTCATGCCGACAGCATGTTGGGGCCAAGAAAAGCAGCTGCACTTTACCATAAATTAAGCAGCATAACAATACTTGGAAATAAGAAACTAGAAGGAGGCTTTCAAGAAACTGACTTGGAAATCTCACTAGCTGAACTGTGTTAGTCAAAATGTGGCACCTTGAGAAAGAATTATGAAAATTCAACATCAGAGGATGATAACACAGCCCCAAGGAAAATGTAGTGTGGGAAAGTGGGCAAAAACATTGGGCAGCACATCAGAAGGCACAGGTCCAGACTTAGCACCCAGAAATGGTGCAGAGTGGTGAGACTGCCATCCTCTCTTTTGCTCATACTGCTATTCCCTATACCTTAATAGTTAATCAGAAATGCCTTCAATTCCAACTTCATATTTAGACTCTGTTAATAAAGAATATGAACCAACATCCACATAAGTTCTGTAGTAACCTTTTGAGCAGCATCTATCTGATATTGAGCAGGAGCTAAGCAGGGCACAGTTCCTTTATAGGAGAATAGAATCTTCTCAGAGAAAGGACAAATGACCTTGGAGCATTTAGGATAGGAAACAGCTATGATACATGACATGTGAAATTATTACACTTATTAACACACAATTGTTCAACATCTCTTCAATTTTCAGATACAAGGAGGTGATCAGACATGACTTAGAATCTGATTGGAAGACTCAAACTCTCTAGACAACAACTGTCCTTTATCCACCACAAAATGTCCTTGTGAGAACTGTATTGTACATAGTCCCAGTAACCAAACTCTTGCTTTCTCCAAGAAAAAAATAAAAAGCAAAAAGAGCCCAGTTTCTTATGTAGAACAAGAAGAATCCAAGAAGGATGAAATATTTAATAAATAAATTGACTACCAAAATTTTATGAAAGTGATTAAAATATTCATCAATAACAATAAGAAAATTTCCAATTAAAAATCAATTTACATATTAACTTATTTGAGAATAAAAACATCCCAGAGATGGTGATTGTTTTAGTACCTTAAAACTGACATAATTAAGACTTCAAGTTTTAAAGTCTTATGGAGAATAATAGATTTGTTCCCAAATTACATAACTGCTAAATGACAGACCCAGCAATCACAAAGTTTCGACCTATATTTGTTTTCAGTACTCAAAATTGCCTCTGTAGCAAACAATGTGCAAATCATCATTCTAGATTTCTCTAAAACATTGAAAATAAAGTCCTTTCCCCTCAAGGTGCTTCCATTTAGGTAGACTGAACACTCCAAAACATGGACATTGGTTCTCTGGTTGGCATTTCCTCAGTCTTCTTTCCACTCATTTTTTAGATGACTTTAGAGTGATTGGTCCAGCTCATCCTATCCTGGCCAGGGTTGGGGAAGATGCCCTACTCACCTGTCAGTTGCTCCCCAAGAGGACTGCCATGCACATGGAGGTGAGATGGTACCACTTGGAGCCCAGCACACTGTTGTTTGCATATAAGGATGGAGCAGAGGTGACCGAGATGCAGATGGAGGAGTACAGAGGCCGGGTAGAGTGGATACAGGACAACATTGCAGAGGGAAGTGTGGCTTTGAAGATACATGATATTCAGCCCTTTGACAATGGACAATACTGGTGTCGCTTCCAGGATGGGAACTATTTTACAGAAACAAGCTTGCTGCTCAAAGTAGCAGGTGAATATCAGGGGAAAGACATTGGGTCTCTGAGGCAGAAGTATGTTTATTTGTGGTCAGCTTAGGGACTGCTAAATAATTCCCTTTGAGTCATCAAGGCAATTCCCACTACTGAGTCCTCCACACTTACTCCTTTGAATGCAAATTTTCTGGAGTCTTCAAAGCAAGCTCACTGTTTAAATATTCCCCCAAATTAGCCGGACTCGGTGGCTCAGCCTGTAATCCCGAGCCTTGGGAGGCTGAGGTGAGTGGATTGCCTGAGCCCGCGGGTTCGAGACCCGCCTGGGCAGCAAGACCTCATCTCTACAATAAATCAAAAAATCAGCCGGGCATGGTAGTGCATGCCTGTAATTCCGGCTACTTGGAAGGCTGAGGCGGAAGGATCGCCGGAGCCCAGCAGGTCGAGGTTGCGGTGGCCGGAAGTGGCCACTGCACTCCAGTCTGGGCGACAGTTTGAGACTCCAACTCAAAAAAAAAAAAAAAAAAAAAAATTCCCCCAAATTAAACTTGCACAGTTTTGAATTTTTAAAGGATTATTTGACATGTACTTATTAGCAATTTTTCTGGGGCATGAATGTGCGCCACCTAATGCTGGTATGCAGAGCAAGCCAACTGTGGCATGAGGTCAGCTGACTACTCAAATTCATATCTCAGAGTATTGGTTTCTCTCTACACAACCTTACCTATGCAGAAACTGAGATGCGAAGTCTTTGTGTCTTTGTGAAATGCTTCCAGTTAGAAAAGTAGCGAAGAGACTATGAAGGTTAAGAATATTGTGCTTTATGGAGATTATCATATCCTAGCGTTCAATAAATTGGAGACTCACCGATGCTTTTGGACATACCTACTGTGGATGTCAAGGTTCTGCAGAATGCATCATATTAGCTAAGCAGGAAGGGGTGGGGATAGAGGAGACAACTGGAGACTGGATCTGTCTTATGGGGAAAAAATGTGTAAAAAGTAAACTATCATATGATTCCCTGACAGAAATCACTTCTCCATGTGCTAAAGAAAAAATTAGGCAATTCCATTCACCTTATCTAGGAAATAGTCCTTTGCAGATATTAACTGATGCCGCTTCTTTATCTGCTCTCCCAGGAGGCTGTTTCCTAACATCCTTTTCTGTAGCACCCGTGACTGCCAATATTACTGTTATTATATTCAAAGTGACTCAAAATGGAAGAAAGAATTCATGTATTTCTGAGGTGTAGGGAGCAGATACTGATACATTTCACTATCAGCAACATTTACAAACAAACCACAATAATTCTAAGGCTGCAAGTGAAGGGAGCGGATCTCTTCCCCAGCAAGTGATAAAGACAAAATTCTCACCTATGGAAAATATAGTCCCCTTTGTTTGGGTTTGGGGGTTACGTGTTGAATAGAGACAGATTTTCATGAATACATAAATTGTTCTAAACTAGGATTTATCAAAAGCCTTTTCCCTCTGAACAGAATATTTAGTTACAAGGAACTTCTCCTGGAACTTCCCATTTTACATGCTGCAGTTCATCACACTGCATCTCAAGATCACAAGCACCAGCAAAGAAAATGGGAAGAATAGGCCCAGGGAAGTGATTTCTGACTGTATAGTAAATATTCTGTCTAAATTGAAACCTAGGTATCATCTGAAATGTCTAACAAAGTGCCTGATATGGATAGTTATAAGATGAAAAAGGCAGAATTCATGGCATAGAGGAATTCATGAGTAAATCACATGATTTACTCCTTTTTCTACTCTTATTCCCCTGTCTGGAGCTGAACAGATATACTTGTAGGATGGTAAAATTTAAAGATTTAGACCAGAGAGAAAATAAAGTGTATTTGAACTCCAATTTCAATGCAACTACTTTAACCTTTTTCTGTTCTTCAGACCCCTGAACTGCTGCCCTCTCCCTTTGAGCAAAGTCACTAGGCTGTCGGTCTCTATGATTTGTGCCTCTGTGAGCTCCAGGACTGAGGACTATAGCTTTCCTTTGCAGGTATGGGGTCTACCCCTAACATCCACATGGAAGGATCTGGGGAAAGCGGATTCCAGTTTGTGTGCACTGCAGGGGGCTGGTTCCCAGAGCCCCTGGTATATTGGAAAGACAACCAGGAAGAGAGGTTGCTGACAGTGTTTGAGAATCACATCCCAGATGAAGATGGCCTGTTCTATGTGGAAGACACCCTTGTGCTCCAGGATGACTCTGCAGAGACTGTGTCCTGCATCATCCATAACCCTGTCCTCACTGAGAAGAAGGCATCAATTGTCTACATCCCAGGTCAGTGTTCTGCCTCTAGGACCAACGTGCTCTGACCACCAGGAGAGATACGAGGGACTGTATTATAGTACCTTTTATTTTTTATACAGAGAAATCTCCAACAATTAGTAAAATGTATTAAAAGCTATATAGCAGTTTTTATTGAAAACACATACATTATAGTTTTAATAGCTGTTACTGGTACCTCACTTATTTGGGAAATTACCTTTTCTTCTACATTGATTCTTTTTATTCATAAGTATGCATTGCATTGTAAGATAAATAAAACAATATTCCGTAAATTTTTAATGCTGCGTGGTGCCAATTACTTTTACAAATCTTTCATATGAAGATAATCAAAGATGGAGATAACTGCATGCATAATATGATATTAATTATAGCCCCATTTATAAATAACAAATAAACCAACAAAAAATCCAATACCACAGTAGATTGTCATATTTTCATTACTATAAATTATAGCATTGCTGAAAAATGTCATTTTAAATAATTTCAATGGTTGTAAAAATTCTCATGATTTACTATTCAATGATGAAGTTTACATCTGTCTATTCATAGTTATTTCCAATCACATAAAAATTATTGGCTTTAAATAACTTATATGGTGATCAGAAAGAGCAGATACTGATGCATTTCACTATCAGAAATATTTACAAACAGGCCACAATAATTCTAAGGCTCCAGGTGAAGAGAGTGGGTCTTTTTCCTCCAGCAAGTGATAAAGACAGAATTCATATCTATAGAAAATATAGTACCCTTTGTTTGGTTTGGGAGTTTAGTGTTGAATAGAGAAAGAATTTCTAAGACTTTTGGGATGCCCTTTATATTTAGACATAAATATATAATAATTCATATAAAGGATAAAGAAAAAAGCAAATGTTATATTTTAATATTAAAATAAACTTTTATATTATATATAGTCTCTCTACATTATATATGTAATTTCTTAGTTTGTTTGTAAATTGCCTATGTCTAATAAAAATATCTAAAAAATAATATGTATTATTTTTGTAATGAATAGTTAAAAATTTATATAGTAAATAGCAGAAACAAACAGAATCTTGGGGAGATAGAAGTAAAGACATTTTTGTTATACAGAGAAGAGGAACAAACAGCTGCAGCACATGGAAATCTGGGGAAAAGGAGCATTATTTTTCCTCATTTACATTTTTTAAGAATAGAGCTTCTGACAAAATGTAGAATTTAATTTTTTTTTTGAAATAGTCTCTCTCTATTCCCTTAGACCAAACTTCTTTTTTTTTTTTTACAGTTTTTTTTTAAATTTTAAAGATATAGGTTACAATTCAGGGTTAAGTATACAAATGTTCATTATGCAGTTATCCTTGTTGATGAGATGTGCCCCTCCCTGGCAGTTTCCCACTACTGCCAATCCTGGCCCTTCACCCACCGGCAGTTTTCTAGTACTGTCAATATGAAAATTGTTCAAGTAGACCAAATTTCTTAATATGTTATTCTTGTTCTTTTTCCCAGAGAAATTGCAGACCAAGATGGGTAAGTAAGAGATCCTGGCACACACCTGTACAGGAAGCCTCTGCTCTTCCCAGTATGTGGGTGTTACTGTCACTCTGTGATCCAGAGAAGAAACGGAGATACTTTACCAAGTCTTATGTTCAGTTAGTACCATAGGTGACTGAAAACCACAGATGTCCACAGTCTCCTTCAGGGAACTTTCCATTGTGTAATCTGCCATATTAGAGGTTCATAAGGACTCCAGTAAGCCTTAGATAGTCACCTATAAGGAACACGGCAGCATCTCTGCTCTGTGTGGTGAGAGGAGAGGGAGTTGCTTTGAGGTGTGTAGAGCATGGCAGGAAAACCTGGGGGTCTGGAAGACCTTTTAAAGCATGTTGAATGTGAGTGAGACCAGCGTCATCATGATAACTAGAGGTGGCATCCAGGACTTCCATCCTCTAACCCTGCTATGGGTCCTGCACCTACTCCTCACTCCAGTAGGCTCCTAACCTCATGGCTATTGGAAGGGGGAGCTGTTCCTTTCTGGGTGCAGCCTGAGATCCTATGGACTGGGCAATAATTTTCTTCCTTTTTCTTCTTCTTTTTTTTTTGAGTTGGAGTCTCACTCTGTCATCCAGGCTGGAGTACAGGGGCACACTTACATCGACTGCACCCTCGACCTGCTGGGCTCAGGTGATCCTTCTGTATCAGCCTTCCAGGTAGCTGGAACTACAGGCATGCACCACCATGCTCAGCTAATTTTCTTTTCAATTTTTATTGTAAAGAAGAGGGCTCACCAAGTTACCCAGGCTGGTTGCAAACCCCTGGGCTCAGGCTATCCTCTCACCTCAGCCTCCGAAAGTGCTGGAATTATACAGGCTTGAGCCACCACACCCAGCCTCTTTTTCTTTTTTTTTTAACCTTATGATTAGACTGTAGGTATTATTCAACTGTACCTAAGATAAGTGGTTTAAAAAATAACCAACTGATTTAGAGCTCCATTCAGTTTCTCCTTTACCTACTTACCATCTCCCTCCCTTCTGTGGCCTCTGCTCTCAGCCCAAGACAACCACCCTGCTTCCTGCCCAAATGCACAAGAACCTGGATCCTTCATGTCTTCCTTCATTAATCCCACTCTTCATCAAGTCACCTGTTACAGGAATGTGTGTGCATGCGTGTGATCTTAAGCACACCTTTCAGCAGACGTAGGAGTATTTAAAGGAAGATCAGGGTGACAAACACACCTTAATTTTTGTCAGAGTCTTCTGTAACACCTTTGACCCCAACAGACCATAAAGATAAAGGGAAGGATGATGGGAAGGTCAGAGGTAACTCTGCAATCTGAGAGATACACCTGAGTCAGAGACCCTTCTATCTCAGGTAGCAAATGTGTCTGAACAACTGAAACCTTAACTGACAGAGCTTGTGAGATGCATATCAGGAAGTCAAGCTGGTGTTTGCAGCAGGTTGACACATGTTTGTACGCCTCAATTAGATTATAAGGGAAAGAGTCACTCCTCTGAGTTCTCTGAGCCAACTCAACATGCCCATGGGCTCTCAAGCACAATAATTACAACCCCATGTCATTTTGTTCCTAAGTCAGGCTGACCTTCTGGAACCACAGTTAACCAAAGTAGAAAAATGGAGCTTCCTTTTGCTGTGTGTCAGGCGGGGGAGGAGTTTCTTCAAATTTTTCTACTAAAAGTCCACCTGGAACTTATTTTCAACCCCTCCCCATTATCTAGTCAGAGAGTGAATTGGCTCCAGTGACCTCAAGGCTCGCAGGTCTATGTGCCTCTGTTCACACTGCATGGTCATCCATGTACCTTATATGAACTATTTTGTTTAGCTCCACAACTCTATGATTGGGGGAGTAATACACTAAATTTATCATTTTAGAAAGTGAGGTATAGACAAATCAAGACATAGTTGAAGATTATATAGATATCAAGTGTTAAAAGAAAATCTTTAGACAGACTAAATTTAGCAGGATTTAACTGAACAAAGACCAATTTGCAATTCAGGCAATCCTCAGAACCAGAACATGTTCAGAGGACTCTGGGCAGCAATATGGTCAGACAGTATTTATGGACGGAAAACAGAAGTGAGGTACAGAGACAGATCTACTGATTACAGCTCAGTGTTTGCCTATTTCAGCAAAATTTGAACATCTGGCTACATGTAATTGACGAAGCATGACTGCTCCTCAACTATTCTTTACAGACATATAATTGTAAAGTATGAACTCCTAAATTAGGCTTTCAGTTAGTTTCCATACTAAGTTAGGTTGCGGTTTGTTACATAGGGACTGAGGTGCAGAGGCATCCTCTGGTCAAATTTGTGAAATCCTCATTTTATTCTGAAAATTTTAGCTGCAAAAATTTTAAATTATTGATCTGTAAACTGAACAAAATTATAGGTAAGGGCGGGTGGGGGTTCAATTACTGATTTTTTTCCTCAAATATATCTTGGGGCATTTCTTCCCAAGGACTATGTCTTTCTGGAGTCTCTGAATCATCCACTTTTTCAAAGGATGACCTTAGTCTCACAGCTTCCCTGGGATGCCTGTGGTTTCTAAACCCCATAGAGGTGATCTTCGTGATGATATTATTTGTTCCATTTTGATTTTTTCCATTGTGCTTTGTCTGCTTTATTAAACAGCTTCCTTAAAAGTGATTGGACCTTCTCAGCCCATCTTTGTTGGAGTGGGAGAAGACATACAGCTAAACTGTTACCTTTTCCCCAAGGCTGACGCACAGAACATGGAGGTGAGGTGGTTCCGGTCCCACCGTCACGCAGCTGTACATGTGTATGTGAAAGGGAACCATGTTCCTGGGGAACAAATGGCAGAGTATAGAGGAAGGACTACGCTGGAGATTAACACCATCAATGAGGGCAGAGTGACCCTGCAGATACACAGTGCCAGACTTTCAGATGATGGAAAGTACCACTGCCTTTTTGAACAAGGTGGTGTCTATCAGGAGGCCACTTTGGATCTGAAGGTGGTAGGTAAGGAATCTGGATAGATGTTTTGCATTCAACACCTATTGTTACTACTTTAAGATGCTAGTTCCTAGAAAATTTATCTGGTTTTTGAAATTTTCTTGAATGTCATTTGTTGTAAAATTTATATTAAACCTTGCACTGTGTAGGAACAATTGTAGATACTCAAAGTCCATCATAGTGCAAAATGTAAATTCTGGGAAATGTAAGAATTTCTAGGAAATATAATAATTTGAAGACTAAACTAGATCCACCAAATTAAAAGGAATTATAAAGATTGACAGTTCCTGCAGGGATGGATAAAAAAAGGTAAAAATCACTCCCTGCATCATGATTTCCCATTGTCTGAATTGTGAATAAAGGCCACTGAAGACATAGGCCAACATTTTGGATATTCCACATGTCTCCAATGTATTTTGAATCCAAATTCATAAACATATTTGGAAAATATCCACAGAAAGACATGTTGAGAAGTTAAATAAGTCCCATTATTTTCTACCATTGGGCATAGATATTTATAAGATTCTGATCTTTGAGAATATCTCCTAACATTTTTATATTGTTCATGTGATCCATGCCTTGGTCAAAGTTATTTTGTTCTCTGCAACAGAAGAAAAATATTGGATATGAAAAATTATCTTACTTAATCTGTTCCAGTATTTTTTTTTTTTTTTTTTTTGAGTTGGAGTCTCACACTGTCACCCAGACTGGAGTGCAGTGGCCGTTTCTGGCCACTGCAGCCTCGACCTGCTGGGTTCCGGCGATCCTTCCACTTTGTTCTAGTATTTTTTAGGAATACAATAAACAAACAAACAAACAAACAAACATGCAAAACAAGAAAATGCTCCAGCCAACCTCATCCCTAAGTGGAGTATAATTCTCCTTTAACTCTGTTCTCCTCCCCAAGCCCTCTGCCTTCCCCTCTTCTCTCACATGGAAGTCAGTGACTCCCCAACCACTTGAAGAGAGACTAGGCTTTGGTTACTTGATCTCTGTCTTCAGGTCTGGCTTCTTCCCCACTGATTACCACAGAGAGGCTAATGGATGGAGAAATGCAGCAGATGAGCTCTTCAGATAGATGGTTCCCACAGCCCCACATGCAGTAGAGGAAGATAGAAGAGAAAGCAATAAAACCATCTTCTGAGGCTATGACTCAAGGTGGTCATGCATTGTTCCATGTGGAGACATTTCAATTGGCCACAAACATCTCTCTTGTGAATGTGATTTATTCCATCAGTATGCCCATTTTGGTCGAGGAGAAAACAGCAATTTTTTCTGTTTCATGTGGGTGATTCCATATGTTCCTTTCTGGTTTGGGACATAACTATTAAGACCAAGCCAGACTTACTCATTCTGTTATTCTTTAAAAATAATTTTTATTTTTTCCCTCTGATGATTTTCCAGACATTTAGGAATCTTACTCCTCTTTTTCCCTACATCCCCAACTAGAGCCTAACACTGTATTCTTTGTTGGGTGCACACTAAATTCTCATAATTGACTCTGTCTTCACTCTATCTCCAAAATCTTCTGATGTGAAAACTATTATAGCATTTTGTTATTTTCTTCTCATCAAAGATTTTGTTTCTGGATTAAAATCTAATTTTTATTTACACCCTCTTTATAGCTGTGGCTTAGGTAATTTTATCCTTTTGCCATCTAAGTTATTCTAGTGATTATATGATGCAATTGGAAGAGAGAAGGAAAAAAATTGTGCATCTCTGAGAGGAGCCAATACTAAGTTAAGGCATAAATTTGCAGTCTCTCCTCTGTTTTCAACACAAGAAGGAGCAGACTAACTGCCTCCTCGAGAGGTTCAATTTCCTCTCTTCTTCCCATTCTAGGAGCTGCTCAGATGAAAAAGACAATCTTGATATTGTACTAGCTTCATGATTTAATGGGAGCCTGTGGTTTCATTTTAGAGTCCAGCATGATGTTTTCATGGAAGATGCTGCTTATTTTGGCTTTGCTTCTTGCTGCAATTGTAGACCTAATCAGGAGGAAGAGCAGTAAAAAAGTAAGTTAGGTAAATGGAAACAGTGTGAGCACACTCTGTACTGGGAATTTCACCCCACACTTTATAGAACCTCCCTTTTCCACAATTACCTATGGGAGGCATTCAATGACTATTCAATCATTAAGGAAACATGAGAAACATGAGAGTCCATGGCTTATGTGCACGTAACTGAGGCTCAATGTTGAATGAGGTAAGAGTTTACAGTCACAGTAAAAGCAAAATAATTATTATAAAAGATAATAACTGAGTTTTCTACTGCCCATTCTTCAGTGATCTAGTTAAGGAAGAGAAAGAAAAAAGTTAGTGGCATAGCTGCCCTTCTTTTCAAGACTGCAAGCTGAGATTTCACTGAGATTCAGTTGGCATGACTAGTTCATGGAAATCTTTAAAAATATGGTGATCTACTTATTGGTGATTCCTGTTCAGCCAGCATAGGACTTTTCACATGTTGTTAGGGAGACCATTTTGTGCACTCTAAAAAGTTCTTCCATCTTAAATTTCTTATGTCAGTAAACTTTTGTTTGCCTGTTAATAGCATGTAATTAATATTTCTCAATATTGATTAATTATCAGAATTAATTTTCTTTCTTTGCAGTGAATGTGACACTGGATTCAAATACAGCTTACCTGAAACTGATTCGTTCTGAGGAAAACAAGGGTGCGGCCTCTAAATATTTGGACATTCAGACATTTCACAGAGATTTAACTTCCTATAGGACCAGGAGGGGCTTACATCAGGGAGGTGGTATTGAGAGGTAAAGGTTGGGGACAAGCCAGGAAGGGGGCCCAGGGTTGTCAAAGACAGTGTGATAAGGAAGGAAGTCATCTCTGTGCACCCTGAGAATGAGCTTTAGGCAATGGGGTTGCTATGAAAGAGAGTAGTGGATCATCATCTGTCCTCCAAACTGTTTCTCCCTGAAGGGGTCCATCAACAGATCAGAAACGCTCTAACTGTGCCTGTGAACACTTCTGTTTTTATAATATGACCAGCAAGTGCCCTATCTATACCTTCCGTGAAACGTTCTTCTCAGGACTCTGTACTCCCTATTCCTTCTTTGATTCCCTGATGTAGGTTCTCTGGACATTTTTCCTGCACCCAGAAAAGCCTCTTTAACATCTCCAAGGAAAATATGAACCTTAGATTTTGGTAATGAGGATGATATTCCAAGTCCCAATCTTTTCTCCTTTCTTCAACTGCTTGGAGGGGGTTTACATGATCATCAAGATACCAAGTCGAGTGCTTTAATTCTATTCAGGTTTCAGACTGATTTCTTCCAAGACCTATCCTATCCCAGGTTCTCTGATACCTGATCTACTAATCATAATCTGGTATTTCATGATAAGGATCATTAGAAAATTTAATGGGAAATGCAATTTAGCCTAGAGGAAGAAATGAAAGGCATAATCAAGTCTTTGATCAGTTTCTTTAAGATGATGACAATTAATTGTCCACATAAGTGGAAAAGAGAATAAAAAAATACAGTTAAAAATGAATGAGATAAAATACAGAGTACAGAACAAGAAAAATCTAATCACTAAGATAAAATCTTGAAAACCCTATGAAGTGTTATGAAATCCTTACTGCAGACTCTCTCAGAAAGTTAATACAGAAAGTAGAGTGAGAAAAAAACCTTAGAATATCTGATCTAAGAGAAAAATTAATTATGTATCATGTTTATAAACATGTCAATTTTGGTTTCAGAATAAAATAAAAGCATAATGTAAAATTAATAATTATAAAATAAAAACAAACATAAGCAATAAATGCAACACAGTAAAACTATTTTAAAGTCTTCAGGAGTCAAAGAAGAAAAATTATATGTGGAAGAAGAATGTGAGAAATAAACACTTTTGGAAAGAGTCTTAACAGGTTATGAAGTGAGAAGGAGGAATACCTGCCAATAACCCTGACCCTCTGCTGCCTCTAGAATGGTACACATCTAGAGCACTCTGGAGTTTCTCTTTTGGGTCATAGCATTTTTTCTCTATCTTTAAACTCATGAATTTATGTTAGAAACTATGAGTTATTCTTCCACAAGTGTTTATACAATAGTTTTATTTCATTAAAAAATTTCAGTTGTAGTAAAATATACATAACAAAATTTATAAGTGTATTCATTTTAAAGTGTGATTATATAGTATTTAGTACATTCACAATGTTGTCCGATCATCAACATTGTTTAGTTCCAGAATCTTTTCAACACCTCAATGAAAACTCTACATACTCTAAGCAGTTACTACCCATTTTTCTTGTCCCTTACCCCTTGGCAATCTACTTTCTGTCTCTATGAACTTTAGTATTCTGGATATTTTATATAAGTTGAGTAATCTCTCTTTGGTTTCTTTTAATTAGCATAATATTTTCAGTTATTTGATGTTGTAGCTTGTACCACTTCTCCATTCCTTTTTAAAAAAATTAACAGACATTATTCTTAAAAACAGTTTTTGTAGGTTTATAGAAAAATTGAGTGGAAAATCAGGAGAGTTTCCAGATCCCTCTTCCCTTTCCCCATAGCTTCTTTATTATTAACATCATGAAGTAGTGTGATATATTTGTTATAACTGATGAACCAACAGTGAAATGTTATTTTCAGTTAAAAATCGACAGTGTACATTAAAGTTCACTTTCTGTGTTTTTCATTCTATGGAGTTTATACTTTGCATTGATACACCCTTTATATGTGTGAATAGTCTGTTATTAGTAAATACACTGGGTTTGTCTGAAAATATTTTTACTATTACTTTATTTTGATTTAGTGTAATAAAATGATTTTTAATAATGTCTGAATTAACTATTATTTTTCATTTACTTTTGAGCATTCTTAATCAATCTAGTTGTCTGCTTATTAGTCTTTGTTTGTTTAGGCTCTAAGAACAAACATATCATTTTTCTTGGGGGAAAGTCTCTTGAAGATGTATTTTTTTTATCAGTCACATTCTCTCACTATATATTAAGAAACACACACTCTTTTAGCTTTACAAATTAGTTGATGAATTTTCTAATTATAGCTAGGAAAAGCCACAAGGAGAAGAAGGATTGGGGTATGAGGATGATGCCTCCAGTCACTGGAGCAGTCACTGTGGCTGATGGATAAAAATTGGAATGGCCCCTCAGGATGTGATTCCCTCTTACTCCAGATGTATAGCCAGCTGGATATAATCTGAGGGAAATTCTTAGACTAGATGTTCATGAACCTTAGAAAATGAAGGACATACCCTCATGGAAATTGGAACTGGCATCCAATTCTTGAACAAAACTCGAAACCCATAGACCATAAGAGATAAGATAGACAAGTGGGACCTCATTAAACTGACAAGCTTCTGCAAAGCCAAAGAAACCATCAAGAGAGCAGAGACAGCCCACAGACTGGGAAAAAGTATTTGCCAACTCCAAGTCTGACAAAGGCCTAAC